TTACTATTCCTAATCCATGTGTAAAGATCTCGGGAAGTAGAAAGCTGGTAGCAATTCAGTGGAGTTTAAACTCAAAGCCAGGAACATTTGCCAATATTATTACACACCAGCTGCAGATATCAGAAAGGCCCAGGCCAAACACTCCACGGAGGCTACCCGTTCTAGGAACGGGTTATAGGAACTGCAGTTATGGAACTGCAAATACGGGTCATGGGGGGGGGAAACGACCAGCCTAGCAGGCAGGTACAGCAAATGGCTTTCAAGACCTTCCAGTTTCTGGGAGCTGATAGCAAAACCGTGGGGTGAGCAAAGCACAGTCTGTGTTGGGGCTCCTGCAAGATCCTATCTCCACTCCGGCTGTGTGGCTAACTTTTCTCTCTCTCTGTGAAAATCCCCTTTAAGTGCCTCACTCCTAGTCTGTACAGAAAGCAGGATATCCTGCCCTCACAGGACCGAGGTGACTGACAGAAATACAAAGTAGGAGACACTAAATTGTGTTTCGTTTTCTGGGAATTTCTGTTTTGTTTGTGACCCACTGAGCCTAGGTTAGCGTGGAACTCAGTATGTAGATGAGGCTGGCCTAGAACTCGTGATCTTTTGCCTCCATCTCTCAAGAGCTAGGTTCTAAATTGGGTTTCTTACTTGCAAAGAACAGACTTTCTACTTAATTTAAGCCAAAAAGGAATTTATTGGAGTAAGTTCAGAGAATCAACAGGAAGACTGGAGAAACAGGCTCAGTCAGGAAGCTAAGGTGTGGGGAATCCAGATCCGGCTCTAAGAATAATCTGAGTTACTTTCAAAACTCAAAATTCTAGAGGGCCAGACAGATGTATCAGCTGGTAAAGGTGTTTGCCACAAAACCCGAAGACCTGCATTCAATTCTCAGGACCCACATGGTAGAAGGGGAACCAACTTCCACAAGCTGTGTGTGGTCTCACCTTCCCAAGCACCATGGGGCATAGCTCTCCCCAAATTAAAAATAAATACTCAAAATTCCAGATTAAAGCCTGCTATTAGCAGTACAGGTACTCAGAGAGCAGGCTTAAATTAAATTCCAGCTACTGGTAGAGGACTAATTCTCAGAAAAATTTTAGATAGACTTCTCTCCCCGTATCCTTCTCCTTTTCAGTCAGGTCTCATGTATACCAGACTGGCCTGGAACTCAATACACAGCAAAGGATGACTTTGAACCTTCTGCTCCTTTGTTTCTACCTCCCAAGCTTTGAGATTACAAGGCTGTACCTCCACACAGGGTTTATGTAGTGCTGGGGATGGAACCTATGGCTCCATGTAAGCAGGCACTCTATCAATTGAGCTACATTTCCAGACCCATAGACACCCCTTTTCAAAAGGCATCAACAACCACTACTTTCTGTTAGGTCACTCTACAGAGGTCACATAGAGGGTGTCAAGTGCAAGTTCGGTGTAGAAGTTGCAGTTGAAAGAACAGAATGAAGTGTCAACTTGGAATATGAGTCTGGAAATGTAGGCAAGACTTTCTAGTAGAAGCATGCAGACTGAATAGTAAGTGCTAGAGTGGAAAGTGGGGATTTTGTTCTAAGACTGGGTCCAAACTAAAAAGCACTTGGATTGAAGTAAGAGAATATGTCAATGGATCCCAAAGTAGGTGTCAAAGCAAAACCTAGACTGTTACAAAACAGCCCTGGATCTGAGGGGGTACAGAAAGTAGGAGTGAAATTCTAAGATTATGTATCAAGTAGCCACAAGGTTAAAAGCGAGAGAAAGTAATAAAAAGCAGCAAGAAGACAAGAAGACAGGGTGGATTTGCTGAACCGAAAATACACGTATATTCACCGTAGGGCATATTCTCGTGCCTGTTACTCTGGTTCTCTTAGACAACTCTTGTCCAGTTGAGAGGAAATAAAAACAAAACCACCACGTCCATTACAAGGTAATGAAAATATGACATTTGAGAAAGCAATGGGTCACTGTAGTGCTTCAGAGAGCTTGGCACAGTAAGCCTCACACTCAAGAAGAAATGCCTGAGCCTACAACTTAAGGAGGCTCTTGTGCTCTTCTTGGATGGGCCCTTGGAGTAGGCATGGCCAGCGGGAAGAGGCAAAGCCAAGGTGGTACAGATAACGTTAGGTGCCATGTGGCTACAAGGATATCCTGCTTCCAAGGGATAAAAGGCATCTTGAAAATCTGTCTGGCGGTAGGGATGGCTGTTGGAGATCATACACCGCATGCACCTTGTGCAGAGCAGCTGGCTTTCCGGTTAAAGGAAAAGAAACTCATCATCAGGGCCTTAGTGATGGGGGTAGAGCTCTCCCTGACAGCAGGAAGTTTAACCTAAATAAAAACATTTCCAGGCAGAATCACAGGTTCCACTGGGTATCAGTTCAACTTCTAATAATTCAAGCTTCCAGCCAAGTAATTTTTTTTTTTTTAATTTGGAGATGAGGACTGAACCCAGGACCTTGCGATTGCTAGGCAAGCACTCTATCACTGAGCTAAACCCCCAACCCCCCAGCCAAGTAATTTTTAAGCACTAATAAACTTGAATAAGAACACCTTAGTTTTACAAATACCTAATATAGTTTAAATGTTCCCCTGACCTTCCCCTTCCTCCCTAGGGCTGACTTTCCCAGAGGTTTCAAGATAGGTCCTTATCACACCAGAACACTGTGCAAGAGGGAAACGTGGGCTGACATCCTTCACGTGTCCATTTCACAAACAGGTTTTTTTTTTTTTTACCTCAGACTAACTTCTGTAACACCAAACTCAGCAAAACTTTCCAGATTCTGACACTTTCTTTAAAAAAAAAAAGTTTTAAATATTTCTAAAATGAATGGACTTTAAATGTAAACTACAGTTTGCAGGTGTGACTTTGATGCCCTCTCCTCACCTTAACATACAGAAATTGTATGTGATGGCATCTACTTGCAGGCCCAATGACTGGGAGGTGGAGGCAGAAGCAGGGGCTCAAGGTCATCCGCTCCTACACAGCAAGCTCAAAGCCAGCCTGAGCTACACAAGACCATGTCTCAGAAACAAAGTAAAACAAAATAACAAAACATACAGAACGAATTCAAAGCAGGTTAAACTAACACAGAGTTTTTTGTTTTGTTTTTGAGATTGAGTTTAGGGTCACAAATATTTCTATCGTATCTGGAGGTTTAGAAAGGCCACAATAATTAAATATTTAATTTATCAAATAATTAAAGCTCTAGTTTCAAGAAACACGGAATATACATCTATATGAAAAACTTAATGCCCCAGCCAATGGCAAAATAAAGCACCACTCTGCACCACATGTAAGACTGTTCATGTGAATTCCCATACCTTTCTTTTGAAGAAACTTTAAAAAAAAAAACAACTTTACGCATTTAAGTTCCTAGAATACCAGAAGACTGACACGTTTGATGGCGCTATTTAGAATACGCCGAAGATGATTCTGAACTTTCTTGAAAACCACAAAGGAAACCAAGAGTCCCACATTAATACTTCGGATAACCCCATCAAACAGGAAATACAAACGGGAAATTAGGAGTCTGACAAGGCAGAAGTGCCTTCAGCCGGACTGCGTCTAGATTCAGTCTCTCGACCTTGCCTCGCTCATCTTTACCCCAGTTCTCCTTCTGAAGAACCCTTCCTTTCCCACGAGTGTGTGTGTGTGTGTGTGTGTGTGTGTGTGTGTGTGTGTGTGTGTGTGTGTGTGTGTGTGTGTGTGTGTGTGTGTGTGTGTGTGTGTGGCTAGCCTCAGTGTCCACATCTGTCAAAGCGGAGTCCCAGTAGTCCGGGTCCCCGCACTAAGTGAAAGCCATCATTCCGGGGGGGGGAAAGTCGCCAACACCGCGGCTTCGGCTCCCCTCCCGGCCAGGCCGGTTCGGCTCACAGTCAACAGGAAGCTTCTGGGGCAGGGACAGGATCCCGGCTTCGGAAAGGGGCCAGAGGAGAACGTTTCTGGACCGCGACCAGGGTGTCAAGCACCGCCCCGCCGGCTCACGCGGTGGTGGTGGTGGTGGGGGGGGGAGGCTGAGATTTTTTTTTTTTTTACTATCAGCGACAAAAGGCTTGCACGGACCCAAGGCTGCGAGCCGAATCGACAAGTCCAACTCTCTCCAAACAACTCCCCCCCCCCAACCCCGGCCACCCCCTCCAACAAAGCCCCCCACTCCCCCCCCCCCCCCCGCATCGGGCGCTCCGGTAGAGCATGGGGCCGAGCTCCGTCCGCTTCGCCCCGCCGCGGTTAGCCGGCGGGCGGGTGGGAGGGTGGGCAAGGACGGCCGCAGGCCTGGGCCGCTCGCTTTCTCCTCACGCCCCCTCCGGAGCCCGCCGGGGAGCCCCCGCCGCCATGTTGGGCCGGCAGGCGTGACACACGCGCACACACACACGCACACACACACACACACACACGCACACACGCACATGCACACAGGGCCCGGCCTTCCCAGCCGCCCGCGGACCCCGCACGGAGATCCGGCGCCGGAAGGCGCTGGAAGCCGGCAGCAGGGCGCGAGTTCCGGTGAGCGAGCGAGCGAGCGGGCGGGCGGGCGGGCGGGCGCAGGTAGCCGCCGCCGCTCCCGCCCCGCGCGCTGCTGCTGCTTCCCCCCCCCAACCCTCCCCCGTCGGGATCGGAGGGGCGGGGCCGGAGGAGGAGAAGGAGGAGGGAGACCGCGGGGTGCGGGCGCCCGGGATTTCCCTCCTCCACAAATAACGCGTCCGGGGGGCCGGCTGTTGCCGTCGTCGCTGCCTCCTCCTCCTCCTCCTCCTCCTCCTCCTCCTCCTCCTCCTCCTCCTCCTCCTCCTGCCGGCGCCCGGGCGGCGGCGGCGGCGGCGGCGTGCGAGCCGGAGGTGGAGAAGAAGGGAGAGGGCCCCCGCGGGCGTCCGCCGGCCTCGGCCGGCCACCTCCTCCTCCTTCTTCCTCCACCGCGCAGCGACCCGTGCTCGAGCCCGGCCGGACGGCAGGTAAAGTTGGCGGCGGGGCCTCGCGACGGAGGCTGCTGAACCTCTCCCCCCACCCGGGCCAGCCCGGGCAGCGCTAGGCCCCGGCGGTGGCCCCGGCGGTGGCCCCGGCGGTGGCCCTGGCGGCGTCCGTCCTCCCGCTTCCCCGGATTCTCCAGGCGCCGCGGTTCCTGCCGCCGCCGCCGCTGTCCTCCGTCTGCCGGGCCGGGAGTGTCGGGAAGTTGAGGAGAAACTTCTCCCCTCCCCCGGTCGGTCCGTCCGTCCGTCCGGCGGACGGGCGGGCGTGTCTCCTGGGCGCGCTACCTGCTGGCCCCCCAGCCCCGGTCCCCGCCCCGTCCAGTCCTTCCCGATCCCGCGAGGGGCCCGCTGCTGCTGCTGCTGCTGCTGCTGCTGCTGCTGCACCCTGCGTCCTACAGGGCGTAGTAGGGGCGAGCCGGAGGCAGGGGAGTGGCCCCCTTCTTGTCCTAGCGGCCTGAGAGGTCTGGCTTGCCTGACGCCCCGCAGCGACTGTCCGGACACGGGACGAGTGGGTGAGCGGCTGGCTAGTAGGCATGGTTTGATTGAAAACCGCGACGTGTTTTTTTTTTTTTTTTTTTTTTATAAAGTTTTTCCTTTGTTTGGGGTGGAGGGTGTTGGGAAATGTTGTGTTCAGCCGCCACTTTGAAGGTACCTTGCCACTCACTCTTGGCCACTCAACTCCTGTTGGGTTCGGCTCTCTGTCCTGGGTTAATGAAGATTTTGTTTGAGAGTGTGTTTTTCTTCTTGATAATTGCTTCCAGCTTTGGCTTTATTGGACCTGGGGAAGAAAGTGGGAATATCGTGTCTGGTACAGGGGACTGCTGTAGTGAATGGGGCACATCGTGGTTTTGATGGGGTTATTATTTTTTTTAACATAAGTGATTGAAACAGTCATGGAATGATTAATGGCAGTTATCAAAGTAAATAAACGAAAAGTCTGCAGTACAGCAACTTTGCAGCTCGGTCGTTTATTGTGTGTGCCTCATAGCTGCGCTTTCACATCGGTGATTTCACAAGACACTGTGGTCTAGTATATTCGTGCATTATCGTATACAATTACCATACCAGAAGTGTCTTGACAATTGAAAGTGCATTTAAATATCCTGTTAAATTTCTAAATTTAAAATGTTACTAAGTGAGCGTATGTGACTTACGAATTTAATGTGAAATACATGTCAAATCTATTAACAAGCACAATGGTGGTGGACAGGAAACATTTTGCGTGGACAGATAAGGGAATGTTAAAACCCAAAGTTCTGGTATGCATCACATGTGAGAGAACAAACTGTAGGAAAGTTGTTCACCAGGAATATTTTTTTCTTCTTCTTGCCATGTCAACATTTAGCTATATCTTATTTTTTGAATATCAGCAAAATCTCATTGAGGAATTTTAGAGACTGGTTGACATTTCAGAGGGTCCTCAATTTGAAAAAGCAAAAACGATTGCCTTTGATCAGAACCTAAATACAAGACAGTTTGTATCCTTGTCTCCAGGATAAAAAAAATAGAAGGGCTCTTAAAATATGTACTTTGCCATAACCACAGTAATGCTATCATAGCTTTAATTTTGCAGCTAGTTTTTGCTGACTTCACACACCACAAAATTGACTCCTTTCTGTGAAATTACAGCCCTGACCTGTCTTCCTGAGAGAGGTATAGAATTTGTCTTATGGTCAAAGGATAATATTAATATATAGTCAAAAATTTGTTTTTAGTTGAGGAAATTCTCCAAAAAAAGTCACTGTTTATGCAAAAAAAAAAATTCCACTTCATTGTGTTTATAAGTAAAAGGATACACTGAAAGAAGATTAGTGATCCAGTACAAGTGAAGTATTACTAATCCTTGTTTATTTGTAGTTCAAATTTGCATAGTTCTAGCCGTAAATAGCTTATTACTGTGGGTAATTTTTCTTTAAAAATAGTTAACTCCTATTGCTATTATTTAGGAAAGAGGCCTAAGCAGATTTTTTTTTTTTAAAGAGCATTTGCTAGGCTCTGATGTCTAGAAATGTAAACTTAAGTGATAAAACTATTATTTAAAAAGAACTACAAGGAAGTGATTTGCATAAAAACAAAGATTGGGAGGGAGGGAGGGAGGGAGGCAGCTGATAAGGGCCCCCACTTCTGAAACAGTAGGAAAGTTCTTTTAACCTTGGGGTAATGGAGGTGTTGGTCTTAATGTAATTCATCAAGTCTTACATTTGTGTGTTTCTCTGTACCTGGGTTTTATATTTTGCATGAAAATAGTTTCAAGAAGCCTGAGTATAATGCAGTATAGATGGTGTTTGGATTAAATTACTAATTTAAGTTTTGGGATACCCTGGCTTCTTGTCACATCCTTTAATCTTTCCCCTTTTTGTTAAAAAATGTAATCATTGGTGACTGACTTTAGAACACTCCCTGGGCTCTCCTTTGCTAACAGGTTTAGATTTTCTGCATCGTAACTGTCATATACTAGCTTGTGTATAACTGCCTTGAAAATACCACACACTTCCAAATGTACAATAATGAGAGAATTTTGAAAAAAAACGTATTTCTCATAGAAATAGAACTATTCTGGGGTTTTGTTATGTTGTTTTAATACTTTGAAAGAAGGCATTGTGCTTTACAAATTTTAAATGTGAGTAGTAAATAATAATCAAAATGTTTATTGAATGAATGGATGTTCTGTTAATCAAGTACCTACTTTTGAGAAAACCAGGTACTATGACATAAATGATAGAGCAAGTCTTGACTTTGATTCAGTTTTGTCCCCCTAGAGCAGTAATGCTTTAACTAAAAAATTTCATTGTTAGTTTTGATATAGTTTTGATATTTTCATGAGATTCTTATTGTGTAGTAATTTTTTCTTTCCGGAGACTTTATGAGGTGGGTAGAGTCTGAAGAAATAATACACTTTGGCTGCAGAAGAAAGCTGTGACGGTGGTGGTGTGTTTTGGAAAGGCACAGTAATTGCGTGGTGCTGCTTGGTTTATTCTGTGTAGTGGTTTGCTGTTTTAGCTGTTGATTTTGTTGCTTTACATTGTTGTAATGGAGTGCTAAAGAAGAGACTGCATCTGTGCCAAATTCTTATGTCACAGGAACTGTGCCATGTTGTAAAGGTGATGTTTGTTACTCTGGCCTTGTGTGAATATTTACAGGAAGTTTTCGTAAGATCTTCCATTGTTCAGAGGGCTGCATGGCTAGGTCACCTTTGTTTCACATTTAAACTGGTTTATAACATAAATACAACTCCTCCAGCAAGATCCAACTGCTTCTCTTTAAAGGAACTACTTTGTTCCTATTAAAGTATCTTGCTGTCTTCACCAATACCGTGTACAGCCATTTGTGTATGGCTACCGTAGGGTATATATTTTCTTTTCTCAGCTGCTCCAGTGCCACAATTAGCTGAGTATTGCTCAGCTGCAGCTGCTGGGTGATTATGAGCCATCCAACTCCTGTCTAAACTCAGAGGCAGATTTAGCAGAAGTAGCTATAGTGATAGTCGCGATAGAAAGGGAAGAGCCAGTGCTGCTGCCAGTGTCGTCTGAGCAAGTCTGTGCCAAGGGGTCCTCGGCTGCTGCAGCACTACCATTGTCTTGGAACCAGCCAACTTGGTGGCAGCGTATCTTTATCTGAGTTGAGCTTTACCCTTAAGACTGAGAAGCATACTCCAAGAAAAACGGAGAGTCCTGTGATTACAAAGTATAGCAGGATCTACTGAAGGCCTGAATTACAAGCCCCAATGCCTCGTCTCCTTGCCTAGCAGTGCCCTTCCGTATCTCTTGTTGAGTTTCAAGAAGCATTTAACTAGAAGAAGTATTCCATTCTGCTTTAACTACTGTTAGTATTTGGGGGAATGACTGGATTGCTGATGTACCAGTGTACATTCTCCTTTCTAACAAAGAGTGGAAGACCCTGGAGAGGAGTTAGTTCTAGAACTAGCTACCCATAGCTTATCCCCTGCTGTCTGAATTTTGAAAGTAGAAATCCAAAATTCTTTTTTCTTACTGTTGGTATTTGAGAACATAAGCCTCAACAAGTACAAGTACTAGCCATGCGTGAGAGTCTGTATTCCCACCTACTGGGGAGGAGGCAGAGATGGGAGGATTGGGAATTCAAGGCCAGCCTAGACCATTTAGTAATATCTTATCTCAAAAGTAAAAGAAGAAAGCAACATACAAATACAGTATCAGCTATGTATGGAGAACTTCAGACTGGAAGATGCCATGGGCAAATTTTGTTGCCTCTGAAATGATAATCGCAGTGTTTTATACTGCTTTTTTACAGCTATCTACTGAGATAGCAGGGACAATTCCTTTTCCTAGCCCTGGCAATACCAGGTGGTTCAGGGGTTGGCCAATTTGAGGTGGGGATTAGACAGAGTTGCGTAAGCCTAAGGAAGGAAGAGATATAGAAGACTGAACATAATCAAGTATACATTATCATTAACTTATCACTTAACAAGAGACTGGTAAAATATTCCCTTCCTTTGTGTTCCACAGAGCTCATATGACAAAGCATATTTCTCTTAAAATTGTAATTTCTTTCTGTGACTGTTGTAGTTGACATAGTGTTCCTGTGGCAAGGGGCTGTTTTATAGTAATCCACATAAAGAATTTTTTAAAAAGCTTTTGCATTTATGTATTTATTTATTTATTTATTTAGGGGGTGTGTGTGTGTGTGTGTGTGTGTGTGTGTGTGTGTGTGTGTGTGTGTGTAGCTTGTATATTCTTTCCTTCCATCATGTGGGTTCTGGGATTGAACTCACTGTTATCCGATCAGCCATTTCACCAACCTAAGAAATAATCTTCGAATTGTATCAAAGATGTAGTTTGGGTATAACCATATAACTATGGGCTTTTTTAATCCATAACAAACATCTTTATGTGTTTCTTTACCAAAATTAATAAAATTAGCATAGTGCTTTTTTTTATAGATTAAAGTTAAATAATGTCAGTTTTTTTGCTCTCAAAGTTTTGTTTACATTTTATAAAATAATTTTAAACAATCTTGCAGGTGAGAACTTTGAAGGTTTTCTTTATAAACTAAAAACTCTTTATAGTTGAAGTTAAACTTGTCTTTAGGAAAGATTATTTCAAAGAAATACTTTTTACAGTTCTGACGTTTTGGTTGTGAGCCTAGCCATTAATGACAGAACCATCTCTCCAGCCCTACGTGGGTTTTTTTGTTTTGTTTTATTTATTTTTTTTTTTTTACTGTTTTAATGAAAATCTTAACTTATAAAAAGAATCCTGGGGGCTGGAGAGATGGCTCAGCAGTTAAGAGCATTGGCTGCTCTTCCAGAAGACCTGGGTTCAATTCCCAGCATTCGAATGGCAGCTCACAACTGTCTGTAATTCCAGTTCCAGGGAATCTGACACCTTCCTACCAATACACATAAAATAAAGTTAAATTATTAAAAAAAATTAAAAAAAGAATCCTGATTTTTATCTGAAATACATTTGGTAATTTATCGTTCTAAAACTGACAGTATTATAATTTAGGTTCGTTTCTCCGTAGGATGAAAGGA